GAGCTTGACTTTCATCGGTATATGTATGTATTTTAGTTAAACCATGGCTAGATTGCTTTCTACACCCCTTTTACCGTAATCAGTCTAACGCACCAATCTAATGAGTCGTTATATATATATATATGTGTGTGTGTGTGTGTTGGACACTCGTATACTGTCTGCTAAGGCGGCTAGTCAATCCCTATTGCAGACGGTCAGGCGCATTTGTCTTTATTCAACACCCACCTGTGGTTTATACTGTAACTATGCTAAGCAGACCTTAGTTACAGTTTCTGGGAAAGAGCCTGTTATCTAGCGTGATCAAAAATCTGAACAAGGCCAGTACGCTCAGGCTCTCGATTAAAGAGACGTGACTTCGTGCTAGCACAGCTATTGATGACACCCAAAGGTTCTGTCTACCCAATTTCACTCACAAGGCTTGGGTCAATCTGTCGTGTGGTTTTCAGGCACTTTCCAGAGATACCGCACACTGGGATCGATATATATATATATATATATATATATATATATATATATATATATATATATATATATCCCACATAATGGTAAGACATTATCTAGATGAAGGCACCATTGCCACTAATGTCTTACCATTATGTAGGAGGTATTTCTGTCACCCTCTATACGAGAAAGAGATTTGGAACTGTACGTTTAATATACGTAAGCAAATCAATGATTCTCATCCTTATTATGAAAAGCATCAATGATAAAAAATAACTTCAAACGAATGAAACCTGTAGGTCTTAAAATGGATTCATCCTACTTCGAACCTCGTGGACTGGCGCTTTGCAATCACTGAATCAAATACCATAAATTGTATCACTTGAGGACTTTCAACAATAATATGAATTAAAATAAATGGCACTCATAGAAAAAATAATAACAATCTAGTTGTTGACGTTCTACACTGCTTCGAACAAAAGGTTAAGAAGGAAACCTCCATCAATACTGGAAAGAACGATAGAATTGAGATGGATTGATTGATTTGTTATACGGCTTATCGATCCTTTGTGGTTCATGTAAAGACAAATAGAAATAAAAAAACATAATTTCCTGAAAAATTGTTTTATTCGAAAGATTTTATAAATTTCAACCAATAGTGGCACTGGACGTTCGATCAATGAATACTGAATGTTTCCTTATAAGGAAACAGCTAATATTACCATTACCATTTATAGAACGGAACAAATATTTATTTTTAAGCAATTTACTCTTCTTACTCGTATTTACCTCCCTTACCACAGTGATAGGATATAACACATGGTCGTTTTCACGCTAGGTGTCTATACGCCTACAAATTAGATAGTGACAAAATTTGTCCACCTTCCACTCTCATGCCGGCAGTGGAATCATTTCAAACTAAATTTGCTACTGCAATGCAGGAGGTGCTGCAAAATACATAAGAGAAATAAGAACAGATAATACACTTTAATACCAGAATCTCTCGATTTTAATGTAGGCTGCGCAAACGCCGACACATGAATCATGGACAAAAATACGCAGTCAATTGTCACGCTGGCGTCAGCATCCACTAAACTAATATAGTGCAACGAAGAAGGTGCTGTTAAAGGTTTCGAATCTCCGGTGCCAGACATCTCTCAAAGCTTTACCGTGAACTGCTTAAAGACAGAAACACAGTAGATACATTGAGCCTGGTCTAAGGGTTTTCTCCTTCATGGTCAACGCACTTAACTCCACGTTTGTATATTAATTACATTGTTGTGGTAGGATCCACCTAATTTGCATAGTGGAGTACCGACCATATAAATATGGTTGGTACCCGGAAGAGAGAGGGAGGAATCAAGAGATTCAACCAGAGACTCTGCCCGACTGTGACTCAGTCAACACATTCTCCAGGAACGGTCTTACCAGGAATATACAAAAGACTATATGTAAATATTGTGTACACTTTCTTGTTTCAATACATTTTGTTCTAAGTACATTTTGTGTTGCATTATTATTCCATGCATTAGTTAAGTTTCAACATACATATATTTCGCATTATACATTAAAATTTTCAAATCAGTATTTAGTTAATAATTGTGTCGGGTTTAAAGTTTATTAATACATTGCTGTAAAGATGAGGATATGTTTCTTTTTAGCTAGCAGAAAGTTATTTATTTTTATTTGCTCTAACGTAATCTACCTTGGTGCTTGCAAATCTGGAATGTGATTAAATGCAAAACAGAACGTTATTAATTATCAAATGTAAACTAAACTGCAGCCATTCCCGCATCTGATGAATATCATTTAAGAAATGTCTTTGAGAAATATCATTCAAAGAGTACAAAAATTTGAAAAATTCGTTCGTTTCACTGTTAGATCGTCGGAGTGACATACCGAGTAATTCTCTTTCATTGTATCACTCAAGGAAAATGAGGCTAGTTGGCGGTTTTCATGTCCGAGTTATATAGTTTTGTTTGTTTCTTCCCATATCATGAACAATTGCACCTCCCACCGCCACCGTACATTCTGCCAAAATTCTCCATGTCCAATCTCTGATATCATCAATCCAACGTCACCTTGGTCTTATCCTCGGTTTCCTGACATCGATGCGTCTCTTCAAGATATTGTTGCGGTGTTTCTGAGCCCTGGTAACATGACCAAAATATTGCTTTTTTTGTTTCCTTATGGTCAAGACCAGCTACCTCTCTATTCCCATCACCGCCAAGTGACTCGTTTGTTTTGTGGTCCGTCCAACTGATGTGCAGTGACCATCTATAACAAATTTTGTTCACATCAGTGGCTTTCATTGTCCAGGTTTCACAACCAAACATTGTCACCTGCCACACTAGAGTCATAATCCTTTTGTGAAGAGAGCAGTCTTTCTTCAGGTTGTTAAGAGACCTAAGTATAAACTTTGCTGCTCCTAATCGAGCCCTGATCTCAGGACTACCATTCGCTGTTTGATCTATGAGGGTTTCCAGGTACTTGAATTTCTCCACTTGAGCCAGCGTGACTCCTTAACACTGCAACACTGGTGCTAATATCCAACGATGTTGTTATCAGTACGATATCATCAGCCTAGCGAAGGTTGTCGAGATACCGGCCAGCAATGATCATTCCTATTCAAGGTAGTTCATCTTCTAACGATAGCATTGCCACTTCCGAGTAGAAGTTGAAGCACATGGATAACACAAAGCAGACCCTTCTGGATGGTAAACCATTTCGTCAGAATTTAGAAAGATGTCTACTATTTAATCCCAGTTTTTAATTTTTTTAAATCACTTCATCCCTGGGAGATAGAAGATGGCGATTGACGATGCATTTATATTTTTGAAGATTGGGGAGGAAGCAAGAAATCGAAAGAGAGTTCCACAGGTGAGAAGTGCAAGAAAAGAAACTATTAGAATAGAACTTTACAGTTACATCTAGTTAGTTTAACAGAAAAACGATGAGACTTAGTTGCCAATGTAGTAGTACACTTAAATACATGCAGTCGGGGTGCCAAAGGGAAGAGATTATTAGAACATCTACCATGAAAATATTCATAGAAAAGACAGAGGAAAGCCACGTTACGACGGTGGGGAGGGTGGCTGAAGTCGAGATGCCAGTTTAGGCCCAATAACATTGCAGACACTTCTTTGGATTTTATCGAGAAACTTTCAGAAAGCACCAGAACATATGATGGAGAAGTTGATGCATATATTAATGCGAATTGAACGTAAACTGCCCTAGCCAAAGATTGAACTTGGTTCGCACTTAGTTTGGTTTGATTGCTTTTGTTAGTCGAATATCAACCTCTATGAGTTATTTAATGCCGAAATCAAAATATTTTGAACATAGTTTTATGGCTTCAACTATATATATGTTGTACATAATTTTATACTTTCAGGGTAAACATATATTTTATAGATATATAGTTTGTAGATGATCTCTTGTAGGTGTTATATGTTTTAGTATAAACCTATTTCTTTAATATAGGACATTATGTTGACGACTTCTGTATTTCATGTTGTTTTCCTTGTAGTATTTGTCCTATAGGGACTAACTAAGTAAATTCAGTTAAAATGTTTCACTGTGAGTAAAACTTGGCTTGTTATATATGTTGGTTGATTTTCTTTCTTTAGCAAGTATGAATGGGTAAGGTATGTTTGGTCTTTGTGCAGTTGAGCCAACGTTACCTCATCCTTTCTCGGTTTTCTGGCGTAAATTCGCAGTTAGGTCACCTGTAGCTACCTATTAGTAATACCTTTAGACACACGCATACAAAGTAATTAAAATAATAAAGAACTTCGGCTGAATTCCAAGCATTAAGACCATGGTGAAAATCTTGAAATTCATCAAACACTTTGGTGTTCCTAGGTTCAATCCCGGACAGTTTTCCCAGGAAGAACCATTTTCCCCCCAAAGAAAATTATTATTAGCTGTGCGAAAATATTTCCAGCGTATATTTTTGGGGGTTTTTGTAATATAACAAACGAACAAACCTTGGTTTCTGTTGTGTGTTCGGTTTCTCGAATCGATTTGAAGTCCCTTAGACTTCTCTGTGTAGCATAGATTTACAACGCTTGGCTTTGCTAGTGTGGATTCTATAGAAAGTATTTTTTATGGAGTTAAGTTACTAGAACCAAACCCAAATGGTTTTGAATTCAGAGTTGTCCTTCTCCTATACTGGTAACCAACCAAGGCTAGAGAGCCCAATCTGTTCTACGCGAATACCCCTACGTTAATAATTCCTCTAGTTCTAATTTAAAAAATGAACAGCTTTTTCACTTAATAAAGTCAGGGAAATTCCTCAAAATTCCTGTTTTTAATAAATATCCATAAAAAAAAACAGAAAATGAATGTATAAATACAAGACATGTTATTCACAGAAGAATAATCTTTACTCAGTTTGAATTTAGTTTGCTTGATTTCTTCTTACAGAACTACAAATACATCAAATCGTTTGAGAGAAAGGCCGAGTAGAGCCTTGCTTAACTTCTGCGTTAATCTTGTTTGAATGTATTAAAAAGTAATTGCGGATATATCGGTCTACTAGGCTTACAACCACGTCACGTTGAAACATTGCTTCCCATACGATCACCGAAATTAAGCAACGTCGAGCCTGGTTAATACCTGGATCGGTGACTATTTGAGAATAGTAGGTGCAATAAGCTTGGAATCGGAGAGCCGAGTTCCAGTTCCTATTGGGTTCATTATATTCACTAACGCGCAAACCCCCCTGGGAAAGGTATGAATTCACCATTTCGCCCTCCCCAGCTTTGGGTTAATTAGTAAGACTTATATCACTAAACCATCATTATCTCAAAAAAAATTCTTACAATCTAAAGATATTTTTCTGGCTCTAAATAACCTGCAAAGGGTTGATAACCCGTAAAAACAAATCAATCATATTGGTCTATTGACTTCTATTCTTTCCTGCTTCTCCGACAGGCTTTCACTGCCAGTGCCTCTTGTGATATGAAGAACCGCTTCCCTGGCACATGCCCTCCCAACCACTGTTGTGCCATGGCAGGATTCCCTGCCATTGGAGTCTTCTGTAGACCTCTACCACGGGTCGGGGAAAAGTGCGCCACACGGAACATACCATTTATCTGTCCTTGTGCTTCAGGTCTGACTTGTCAGGTGAAAGTCAGGCCAGATGGATCCAAATCTATGTATGGCAAATGTGCTTAAATTTGCAAGACTGCGATGATCGAAATGTATTATATAAAGAAAATATTTTAAAATTAAAAACATTTGGTTTATAAGCATTTGTCTGTTCTATTTGTTTTATTTTCGCGTGGTCGGATTACTTGCCGATGAAATTGTAAAAGATTTAATCTTTCAGAGCCACTGTGCGTTTTATTTGCACGCATTGCACATGGTTTTTTCTTTCTGTATTAGTTTCTCGCAACATCAAATAAAAGCGACGCCCTGGTCAGTTTCATGTTTAATTCAGTCACGACAGAAGCCCTTTAACCCATTAGGGTCGTAGGGATAAGCACGTGTACTAGAACCATGTTTTTTTTTTTGAGTTCAGAGTATTCCTTCTCCTAGATTGGCCACTAGCTGTTACACCACGTACACATCCTCAAAATTGACACATTGACAGCGTTAAGTAACATTTTAACAAATAACAACTTTTAGAAGATATTTTAAAAAGTTTTATAACCCGCTTTTATTCATTCCAGAGCTTGTTTTCTCTAAAAATTAAAATAAATGAATAAAATAAAAAGGTATCCTGGAATATGTTTTCAGAAAACGGATCGGCATAACCAACTATTACACTAACTCCTATGGGAATACTCCCATAGTGATTTACTAAGAGCGGCTTAGATGTGGCACAAAGCCGAAAGTACGGGACCCCGGTGAGGAACGAACTCACTACTCAGTCGTAACTGATCTAGCAAGACAAGCTTTCTAACCATTACACCACGTCGAGGTGCCCGTGTATAAACTCCTTGTAGAGTCTTTTATGTGTTTCCATTCAGATTAGTATAGGCATCTTGGGTGTTATACTTTCTTTCGTCCTACTCTGTAAACTTTGTGGAATTTTCAACCTAAATTTCAATCTACATTACTGTTTACCGATCAAAAAAAACTTTAAGGTCTTTTAAAATTGACCCTTTATTTAATCTAATGACGTAGACTTATTCTCATACCACTAGGATATCTTGACTAGTATTATTTTTGGTACTATTCACTTATTGCTCACCCTGCTTCCACTGAGTCCAAGTACACACTGCCAGGATCAAGGATTGCACTCACAATTACGATATCACCAAATTCACAAAGTAAGGCTTTAATCTACTCGGCTATTTTCCATGAGACAATCCTGAGTATCAAATATGGAGCCTTAAACTTAGTCTGAATGCCAATGAAACCGCTATTGCAAATCAAGCTTGACTGTCTTCATTAAGGTTTCTCTTTTCTACAACTGCTTCCGTTAAAGTCTTGCTACCATTTATCTTTCTTTATTAACGGTTTCACTATCATACCTATTTCTATGCTAGGCCTCCCAACGGGGTCCTCATAGCCTAGTATATGTGCTGATTCTTTCAAACATTTATCTCTAGTGCTATTCTCTATTCAGTATTTTACTTCATTCCACAGGTGTTGATGACTACTCTTCCCCCTCCATACATGATCAGCCAAAATATTAAACACTACTTATTAATTAGATTGTTTATTTACAAGAATAATTTTAAATTTACAGCATTCTAAAAACGAATTAGAACTAATGCAATATATATAACTTTTACCAATTTATAAATAAATAAATATGAAAACAATTTTTGTTGATCAATTTATAGTAAATTATTAAAATATGTGAACCAACTATAAGCAAACTTTTATTTACCAATTTATAAAGTTGGAATCAGTTGGCAATTAGCCAATGTTTTGCGAACTATACCAGTAAATAATATAATAAATAAATAGTGTAAATAAACACTCTAATAAATAAATAGTGTTTATTATTTTTGTAGTCAATTCTCAAGAACAAAGAAAATGTTTAAATTATGTTTCATTGGTATAGGTTTTATTACAATTTTAATCATCGCTTTTAAAATCTATAAACACTGTCGAAGAGTATATGTAGTGTAAAAAAAGAAGAAAATCGGTTTCATAGGTAAATCAGTTTTATTGTGGGCACGTTTCTTCATGTTTACCCATAAAACAATTAAATGTCTTACCAATGTTTAAAAGTGGTCAAAAACAGATGATGTGGCAACTAACGCAACCAAAAAGTAGTAGCAGGTTTGTGTGGTGGCCCAGGTCATCTGAGATTATTCTAGTGAAAATTAGTACTCGATTACTGATTGATGATGGCCAACTTGTACAGACTTGACTTTGACATGCCGTAACAGCTGTTCACTGCCAGGTTATAAATAATAGTATTTTTACTACAGGTTTCACGATGAATGAAGAGCGTAACGTCTGTAGGGTATAGATTTTAGCTTGAGAGTTTATGCTTTTCACAATGGGAATTTGTCTGAAATTATAAGAAAAGGGTTCACCTGCGCTGTGACTACGCAACTTCATGTATACAAGATGTAAGTATTTATATAAAACACAATACGGGGGAAACCACTTGGATATTGATATTTTTCGTTTTACTTTCTTATTCACGTTCTGCTGTCAGTGAAAGAAAAGTCTCAAAACAAAACAAAAAAAAATTCGCTTGTTTCGAGAATTCTCGTAGTCAATGTTTGGATATTTTATATCAGTAATTTATCATAAAACAGAATAGATCACTAGAATGATCGACGAGTGCTTGTGTCAGTGTGCGTATTTTGACAAATCGGTGGATATATCTGGTTACTAAATTAGACATTTTAGCTGCTCTTTTGACCAGAGCTATCAATAACAGCAGACAAGCCTTTTATCAGTCTGATAGCGCTTGCACACCTACCAACTCTGTAAAAGCCATGTGACCTTAATGCACCAGAAAACTAAATCGAAGTGCCAAATAAATGTCTATCGATATCATCTTTCTTTACTGAGGAAATTCATGTCAGAGATAGTAACAACAGTTTAAGTCTGTCCGCTTATCGATCGATATATTTCAGTCTGCTATTTTGATTGGTTCATAGTAATCTATATTTAGCTATTTATCTATATATCTGGCTGTATGATATGGACGCTGATAGTGTAATATCGGCGCGGAAAGTGAATTCAGGGTGTCGAGTTCAAATCCTACTCGATTCTATTTCGTTCATATGGCACTAATACCCTTGGAAAATGTATGAATCCATCTTCCTCCAGATATACCACATATACCCGTGTATAAGTCAACTTCATGTATAGTGAGACCCCTAAATTTTTTACATGAATTTTAACCCTCCCAGAAAAAATTCACTTGTGTATAGTGCAACCTGTTACCGAAAATGTATGATTCTGAACCTCTTCCAAATAAATTACTTGAGTATAGTACGACGACCCCCTATTTTTTGCTTAAAAATCGCACTATACTCTATTAAATACGGTAGGTTAAATAACAGGACAGACTGGGCTTTTAACCAGTTTAGGAGAAGGAAAACTGAGTGCAAAACCAGCCTGAGAGGGATAGGTTTCGTCAGGCTATCTTGTCAAATATACTACCTCTACGGCTATAGTCCTTACGACCCTATTGAGTTACGCGGACTCGTAACATAAACAACTAGACGTATCCATTTGGTACACCGATAATTCTGCATATCTGTGAAGAAAATGTATATTTTTACAAAATTTGATTGGGTATAATCACATAGTGAAAGACACGAGCAAAATTCAGCTAAAAAGGCTTGTCAGGTTACTATCTTAGTTATCCACCATTATGTAAGAGGCACTGAAAAAAAAAAACACTATAAAAGAAGTCCAATACACGTTATACACATCGCTGTCAGTACTCGCTGCTTAACTATGCTCATATCCACTGTTTGGTCTACGTAAATTTTCAGCAAGCGTCAATGAAAATCAATATGACGCACCTGTTTCGCCCGCTCATTTACAAACTATCAGTCAGTCAGTTATGTTCCATGCGTGATACACGCTTAGCCGATCATGTATCTTTCGATACATGACTGACAAGGAAGATTTTTTGCCGCGGTAGGTTAGCATTTCTTTCTGCGGCCATGAAAGGCTATAGAACCAGGTCTGCCCTGCTATTTATATAGATGGGGGCAGAAGTAAAGGGTTCATTCCTTTTCCAAGGGTATTCCAAGTGGAGGTAATGGATTCGACTGGAATTCGAACTCGGCTCTTCGATTCCTCAGTCCGAGCCGGTATCTATTACTCCATCGTATTGGCTAGAAAGTCCAACGTTTACTACCATAGACAACATCCGCCATAGACATCTTGGCTAACATAAAATGGGACGTACTGTTTTTAATCGATCAGTGTAGAATTTTTCTGTTTCCCTAAAACGGGATATCTAATGTCCTTGTTGATAAATGTCTCAGGGCAACAGGTGGTTTTTATCCAAAGTTTCTTATCTGGAGCCCTCAAAACGCTGTCATGTTAGACAAAATTCTTTAACCAAAATGTCATTTCAAATTAGAGGTTTAACTAATCGAGTTTTCGGAGTTGACTTTTTGAGTGATAACAGGACTCATAAATACGAAATAAGAGGGTAAGTCAAAAATTGTCCGTACTTTCTCCATAATATCTTTAGATATCTTACACTG